TTTTAAGAATGTTTTTTTTTTTAGAAATGAGAGAGAAAGTTCAAAGTAGGAGTGAATGTAGAAGAATACACGGATGATAAAATTGATGATGAATTTGTGCATTTGTCATTTAGATTAACAATTTTGTATTTTCTTTAAAAAAATAGATAGTAAGGTCAAATTTGTCATTTTAAGTGCCAAAATGGCTAAAAAAGATGTTTTTGCCAAACTATGGCTAAAATTTGTGTTTTACAATTGAAAATGGCCAAAAAAAAAAATTCACTGAAATTAAATCTTCCTTCTTCCTTTCACTAAAAAAGAAGGAAAAAAGATTTTTCTGTTAATTTGTGTATTGTTTCAGATTTTCTTTTTGTAGAAAGGATGGAAATACAATGGGAACTGATAGAAAGAGCAAAAGAAGAACTGGAAATACTAGAAACAGAACATCCCCACAGGTTTGAAGTTCTCAAAATGGAGCTCAAAGATTTCATTTCAGATTTGGAACAGCAGATTAATAGCAACATCACCGCACACTATGCTGACACTCAAGGTGTGTTTTAATCTTGTTATTTATTTCAATATTTGCATGATGAGTTTTTTTTTCCCTACAATCTATAAACTGCTAAACCTTTTGTGTGTTTTTTTAAAATTTTATTTAAATGTGTTTTTTTTTTTTTATTTCAATTGTTATAAGCAGAGTCATCAAGCAGGAGGAGCAAGACTGATGTTGTCCTGGAGAAAGCTCTGCAATGTCTCTGCAAAATTCAACATTTCAAAGCTAGCTTATGTACTAATTTACATTGCTAAAACTAGCTAGATAAACAAATGAAGGCCTGATAATATTTTGATTAAATCTCATGTGTGCTACTTACTTGAAAATATGGCAGATAAGTTATGTTTAAAAACGAGGCTGGTTTGGATTCATACATTAAACTAGTTCATACATTAGTGTGTTAGATATGACAGAGGATGAAAAATATATTTGTTATGTTTTAAAATGTTCTCTTAAATATGATGTTGGTATAAGATAAATTGTAATCTCCTATTGAATAGTAAGTATCTGTCTTGAAAAATTGCACGAATTTTTTTTTATTTTATCAATAAAAACCTTCATTAATGAAGATAGAGATTGATGTTTTGAGAAATTGTGAAAAGTGAATATGAAAAGACGTAGTGTATTTATTAGTTAGGTAATAATGGAAAAATATATACAAAAGATTCAAAGCGTTATTTATTTGTTTAATGGTTGATAAAGTTAAAATGACATTTAAAAAGAATAAGAGGTAGTATTAGTTATAACCATTATCATCATAACCAATAATAATCCTACAATATGGATTTGTGACTATGAACAACTGATTTTGACAACAAAATACAATATGTTTTTTTTTTTCTTCATAAATTCAAAATAATATATTTAATTAAAAAAATATTAATGATATTCAACGAAAAAAGGTATTTATCACATTAGTTACACTTCTCGAAACATTTTCCACAAATAACTCAATAATAACTTTATTTTGATAAATAAAGACATTATTATTATTGTATAAATAAATTGATATTAAGTAATTGAAATAAATATGTACAAATATGAACCAGTTAAAAATAAGAAATATAAATTGAATACTTAACAAACAAAATAGAAAAAATTGCTTATATTTGAGTTGCATGTATTTAGTTTCAAATTAGATTAGGTCCATGTATTTATATTTTTTTTATAAAATAAGATATGTGATTATAATGAAAAAAGTAGTTGATGCATTGAATTTTATCTACGCACCAATTTAGTTGCAATAATATATTCTCGTCATTTTCTTGAGAAAAAAAAAACGTGTTAGAAATAAAAAAATTAATTATAATTAACATATTATGCTAATTTTATTCATTAAAAAACATAGTTGCATAATCGTGGATCAATAAGAGGGTGCTTGGGTACAAATTTGTTTGAGTTTTGATTTGATTTGTAGGTTAAACAGAGTTGATTATGGAAAAAGTTGGTGTTTGAGTGGGATATTGAGTTGTATTAAAATAATATTTAAAATAAAATAATTAAAATTGATTTGATGTAAATAATGAGATATGTGATTGTAAATGGTGAACATTTAAAATTATGTGAGTAGATGATTAATGAATTAAAGTTAATGTGATATGTGGTGATGATTGATTGATATTATTTATTTATATATATTGATAATATTGATGCTGGTTGGGTGAAATTCGAGTTAGATTTTGAATTAAAAACAAAGTAATTGATAAAAATGACTACCCTAAAAAAATTAAAATGAGGGATCTTTAGTCACAAACTTTTACCTCACCTAAACATGGCCAAAGGGCCGCCCGGCCCTGATCCAGTCCTGATTCGGCCCGGTCAAACCCGTTGACCACGGATTCGGGATCGATCCGGATTTTAGACGGGCGTGTATGGGTCATGCATTTCACGACCCGGCCCAGCGGGTCCGGGCCGGGCCAGGTCAATGATCCTCCTTTTCTATTTCTTTTTATGTTTTTTTTATTATTTTTTAAAAAAGTAATAGACCCGGCCCGGGCCGGAAACGAACCCGATACGAGTATAAATCCGTGCCGATTCAGGATCATTATTTTCGAGCCCACCGGGCCGGATCAGGTTTTGGCCATGTCTAACCTCACCTAAAAAAAATTAAAACGAGCGATCACTTTGGTCACAACTTTTATATGACCGTCGTGATTTTTAATTTTTATCTAAAATATTGTGGTTATGTAAAACCCCAGTTTTGGGAGGTTGCCAATTTCCTCCAACTCCACCGTGAACGCCCCTTCGGCCACCACCACCATACTACTTTCCTCCTCCACTGCAGCCGCCGCTCCTCCATCTCACTGCGTAATAATTGCCATCAATTCTCCGCCCCTTCAATTTCTCCCAATATTTCAGCACACACTGCAACCGGCCCGAACCCTCCGAAACCCAAAATCATGGCGCTACCGCCATTAAACCTCCACACCCACCATCAGTTTTCGTTCTCTTCTTCTACCCCTGCTTCTTGTCCATTTTCTTCGCTGAACACACTCACGTTTCGGACCATTCACCTCTTCAAAATTGTAAAAATGCCCCGAAAATGCAGAAGAACTTTTCCCATATCGTCCTCAACTTCCCCTCCTCAACCCTCCCCAATTTTCCTCCCTTACCTCCAAACCCCAGAAAGGAAACAGAGCCCGGAACCCGTGCTCGAAAGTGATTCGGAAATTACCGACGACCCTATCGTCAATTTCTTCAAGACCCGAAGTTCGGGCCCGGATCCGGACCCTGGCCGAGAAGGCCGTATCTCCCAAAAAAAAAACCGAAGAACTTCGTGGCAGTTAGCGCCCGGCTTCCATAACCTGGATTCCGATTCAGAACCTGAGAATTACCAAGTGCCCATTTCCGAGAGTGCTGAAGAAAAGTCGTCGTCGTCAGGGGTTGTGGAAGAAATTATGGGAATTGCAAGGGCGTTACCAGAAAATATCACATTAGGGGAGGCGCTGGGGAGCTGTGATTTTGGGGGGAGATTAGGGAAGAAGGAGTGTATGGAGGTGTTGAGGGTTTTGGGTGAGGAGGGTGATGTGATGAGCTGTTTGTATTTCTTTGAGTGGATGGGGTTGAGAGAGCCTAGTTTGGTTTCGTCACAAGCTTGCTCGGTTTTGTTTGTGATTTTGGGTAAGGCTGGTAAAGGAGACATCTTGTTGGTGATATTGAATAATTTGCCTTTCCAGCAGAATAGAGACTTTAAGGATGTTCGTGTTTTCAATGCTGCAATTTCTGGCCTTTTGTGTTGTGGGAGGTATTGGATTTTCTTTCTTTCTCGCTTTCCATGTTCTTCTTCGGTGAGTTCAACTCGTGGTTTATTGATGTTATCGATCTGAATATCGCGTTTGGCTTTAGTCATGTTATTCCATGTAAAGATGTGTAAGCTGAAATGTGTTTTAAGCCAAATTGCATTCCGGTTAGACTCTTTTCTCCCTTTACCTACAAGGTTGTCTTTTTAACGATGTTGAACAAATATGATCATCTGTGGGTTATTTCTAAAATTTGTTACTGTCTTGTTATTCTCCATTCATGTTATGTTTGCTGTAACGTAACTTGCTAATGCATTCTTCGTCTTGTTCCATTTGAAAGGTATGGTGATGCTTGGAAAGTCTTTGAGATGATGGAAATGAATAATATCCAACCCAACCACTTGACGTGTTGCTTAATGATCACAATCATGAGGAAGAGTGGCAATAGTGCAAAAGATTCGTGGGAATTTTTCCAAAAAATGACCAAAAAGGGCGCGGATTGGAGTTTAGAAGCCGTTGGTGCTCTTATCAAATCGTTCTGCGACGAGGGTCTTAAAAGGGAAGCCCTCATTATCCAATCAGAACTCGAGAAGAGAGGCACACGTTCTAACGCCATTATTTACAACACACTCATGGATGCTTATAACAAATCGGACCAAATTGACGAGGCCGAGGGCCTTTTTGCTGAGATGAAGAGCAAAGGCGTACATCCAACGGCCGCCACTTATAACATCTTAATGGATGCGTATAGCAAAAGAATGCAACCTAAAATCGTCGAGAAATTACTCCAAGAAATGGAAGATAATGGCCTCGAGCCGAACGTGAGATCCTACACGTGCCTAATTAGCGCATACGGACGACAAAAAGAAATGAGTGACATGGCGGCAAATGCTTTCTTGAGAATGAAGAAAGCCGGCATAAAACCCTCGACCCTTTCGTACACGTGTTTAATCCACGCGTACTCGGTCGACAACTGGCACGAGAAAGCTTACGATGCTTTCGAGAATATGTTGAGAGAAGGCGTAAAGCCCTCGATTCAAACTTACACGGCTCTATTAGACGCGGCTAGACGCGCGGGAGACACTAAAACCCTAATGACGATTTGGAAAATGATGATGAGGGAGAAAATCGGAGGGACGAGAGTGACTTTTAACACGCTTCTTGATGGGTTTGCAAAGCAAGGCCATTATGTAGAGGCGAGAGATGTAATATGCGAGTTTGAGAAAATCGGGCTTCAACCGAACGTGATGACGTATAATATGTTGATGAATGCTTACGCGAGAGGCGGGCAAGAGTCGAAGTTGCCGCAACTTTTGAAAGAAATGAGTGCGCTTAACTTGAAGCCCGATTCGTATACTTACTCGACAATGATATACGCGTACATTCGCGTGCGTGATTTCAAGAGGGCCTTTTTTTACCACAAGGAGATGGTGAAAAGGGGACAGGTGCCGGATGCTCGGGCATATGGGAAGTTGAGGGGTATTTTGGACATGAAGGCGAAGATAAAGAACAGGAAAGATAAGAGTGCTTTAATGGGGATTATAAAGAGTAGTATGGGTGTTATGAAGAAGAAGAGGGTTGGGAAGAAGGATGAGTTTTGGAAAAATAAGAAAAAGCGGCCACGACCTATTCACAGCTCAGCTCGGTAAATTAATTCCATGATTATAGCATTCGTCGTTTTGTGATGGTTTGTGTTCTTAGATCTCGACAGATGTGTTTTTTTCTTTCTTTCAGATTTTTCTTATAATTTTCTCAAATAATGACGTCATTTTGTTGTGACCGATATATATACATGATAGTAATATGTAATTTTTTTCGTGTAAGGGGTGAGTTTATGAGGATCTTGTAATGCAGTTTTGTGATTGATCAATCCTTATTTTTGTTGTGTTATAAACATTTAGTTGTGGGAACTCAAACTGGTCTGTGTTTGAGTAAATTATTGAAGACCGTGTCGATTTCTGATATATTCTCAAACTTGGCTGTGAGGTTGGAGAACAATTGTTTCCATCTCAACTGTTGTTAATGGTGGAATTTAGAACAATTTTCATTTGAAATATTTTCTTTTTCCCTTATTCCATTGCCGCATAGAAGAGTTGCACTGTTAATTTCTTTTTCCGTTAGATTCGTGTATATTTTTTCGTTTACCCCAAACCATTATCCAAGGAATTGTCATTGATTCCACTAATATAGTTTTCAAAAGACTATATTGGTTTCAAAATTTTACTTCTTGGCACAAATGAACTCATTCGAACATATTTTTCTTTGAGTTCAACCAAGAATAATAATTTTGTGGTAATAATATCAAATGAAGTGATATTAAACTTATGTTTAACTCCACACAATTAAGTGTATAGATTAAATAATATCAAATAATCATTACATACATATTTTTCAAACGTGTATAGATTAAATAATATCAAATAATCATTACATACATATTTTTCAACGTAATTCACTTTTCACTTACTCATTTTTTTATACCACCGTTTACGATTACTATTTGACCACTTTTATATCATATTATTTTTAATTACTGTATTTTATTTCATATAAAATACACAAACTCAAAATCAAATTCAAATTTTCATCTAATCATTTTTTTTGTTCCAATTTTAACTCACTTTATCCAACAAATTAAAATTAATTTAAAAAACTCATTTTTAATCTTCATAAGAGATGGTTATAATATCAAATGTCATAATTATATTTATGTTATTATTTAAAATATAATATTTTTAATGAAAGTATCATATTTATATTAAAAAATATGCCACTCTAATTATTAGAGTAGCGTAGGCCTAACAAAATAACCATATGCTCGTTTTATTTGTACAAGCGCTGGTCAAATATTCAATCAGTTAGCCTGCTCAGCCTCAATTGCTCAAAATCTCAGCAGAAAACCTCCGAACATTTCTTTAGCCGGTGCAGCCGTGCAGGGTCGCTCTCTCCTCATCCTCCGATGGTTTGGGGCCTCTTTCCTATCGACCCACTTCCAGGTACTCATAGAACTATTGCACATGTTCATTGGAGTAAAAATTTATTGTTCTTTCATTGGGGAGATTGAACGAACACGTTGTATGCACTCTGTAAACGAGCTCACGCTCTTAAATTCTGGCCATGAACGTTCACAAACACGGAAGCGGAAACTCAATTCACAGTGTGCTACAAGTTCTGTATCTATCTATTTCGCCGTTCATAAAACTTGATCAACAAAAGTTCAAGTTTTTTGCTGTGAGGAAAACAGTTAAACAGTGCTTGAGTTGACAATGGACAGCAGTAAACCGAAGGAGATAATTATTATTATTCCTTTTTTGTATAAAAGTATGTAATCTATAATATTGTTGTTGCTCGTAATAGTTCAAACTTGCTGGTGTGACCTTCATCTTGTAAGTTGTAACTATGAAAGAGGATCTTTAATTTAAAATTGGAGATGGGGGCAGGGTAGAAGGCCGTTAGCCCATTACATAATGCATCTGTAAACCCGTTCTGACGTCACCATTTTTTGCGCGAACTCCAGCACATGGGCTTATTTTATTTTAAATTTTATTTTATTTTTTGCATTAGCTATTTAGCTCATATCCTTCTTGAGAACCCATGTGTAAGAATCTTGAAATTCCTGTAATCTGAACATGAAGACATGAATGTACATTTCATCATTTGGAAGAGCTCAACTCCTGTTCCCAACAAAAGCTTGAATTTTGTTTCTGTCTTTCATCTATTTCCTTCAAGCGTACCAGTCTCTGTGGTAAAGATTCATCCTCAAAATCAGCCTTTGAACTCTTCTTAGAATTTGCGGCAGAAACTTTTTCACTATCACCAACTTTCTGGATTCATATTTGAATTTCCGTCTTTTTAATTCTCAAAACATAACTTGGATTCTACAATGGGCACTCTACAAATTCAGCAAGGGTGGTAAGGTTATGCTTATTATTGTTCAACCTGAAATCATAATTTTCATAATTTGTATGGAAGAAAAGATAGAGAAGGTTTTAGAGAGGGGAGGAAAAGAATTACAATGAACCATTTCCTTTCACAACTTAGAACTGCTTCATTTTCCTTCCATTACACTTCTTAATTCTTTGTTAGATGGCGATGTCATCTGACAGCAACCATAACACTAAAATATATTAAAAAACATGAATTGGCCAAATTTGTTATAATTAGTTTCCTGCTTGGTTTCATAGACAAGTGGGATATGAATGAGGATGAAATCATCAGTTAGCCCCAACCTTTTCATTTTATTTTATTTTTTATTTTTTGTTGCATATTACATGAAAATGCTTCTACTGTAGCTTATATCATTTTCCATTGTTCACCTGTTTTTACCCTTTTCCTTCTCCCTTCTGGTTCCTGAGGGTGGGGTGATGGATTGTCTTTATGTGCTTTCTTTTAGACAAATTAATTTATAATATGTTAATTTTATTTTGAGGAATGAAAAGCATTAGCATTCAGTATATTTCAACACATTCGTGTGCTGTAAGGCCAGCTTACAAGGCCATTCTTTTTTCTCTCAAAACAATACATTTATCTTCTTCAGGACTGTGTAGAGGGATCTCGTATTTGGTTGTCTGGATTTTTTTTTTTTTTTTGGTAGACATCTAAAAGGCCTTGGGACTAAAAGGCTATGTTGTTGTTGTTGTTGGGTAGACATCTACCTTCAGATTGAACCTTTTCCTGAATGATGTGAAACCACTTCTGTGGCAAAATTAAGAGACAGTACTTCAATTATCTTAAAAGTTCTTGATATGATTCCATTTATCATATGATTGCTTTGAAATAATTTGATAGACAGACGCAATACTAATTTGTGAATATCAGACTTGAAAACATCACGATCTAAATTCCTGTTTCTTAGTTGTTACTTGTTAGAGATTGATTTCACTCAGAGTGCATCTTATCAATTATAGTTCTTATATAGGTAAATATCTGTTTTCTTTAACTGTTATGTTTAGTCTGTTGTACCTTTGAGTTATGAATGAGTCATATTGATTTTCCTGGTATTTTGTATTTGGCAGGTGAAAATGAATATTATATTTTCAGAAAAGGAACATATAAAGTGGGCAGAAAAGGTACATCCAAATATTGTTCACTTGTTATCTACCATAAAACGCCTTGCCAAAGCAATTAGGATTTGCCATCAGACACATTTTTTAGGTGTAACATATTCTTTATTTGATTTATTACTACTGATTGCAAGGTCTTATGCATAGGTCAGTGGTGATGGATTCCGTCAAGTTGGATATAAGTTTCTATTGTTTTTTTCTCTTTCTTTAAACTGAACTATAAATGAGATTTAACAGTTATTACATATTCACATTCAAAAGATTATTCAAGAGCACAAAATCAAACTGTTCTCCAACTACTAAAGGTGAAAATTGTCGTTTTCTGTTAGTTTCAATTTAACCTGCCAAGCTGGTCTTTACTTGATCATATAAATTTGTCCCTAGCATGTATATTGTAGTCATTGTTATTCAGGTTGTAGTGATACGCTTGATGCCATATCATCCTTTACTTTTTTCATGTATAGTCAATATACCTTTTGTTTTCCCTCTTCTTCTATTAAATGTCAATGTTTTTGTAGGATGTGATATCATCATTAACAAAGACAAAGGTGTCTCAAGGGTCCATGCGGAAATCATTGTAAATGAAATGATTTGCATGGATAATTCAGAAAAGAAACACTCAACCAAAGTTCGGATAAGAGACTGCTCCAAATATGGAACCTTCATAAACAAAACTCTGGCTTCTGTGGAAAAAGTTCACGCACTTCCGGATAAAGAAACAACGCTGAAGGAAGGGGACCTGCTTGCATTTGGAACTGGAAATGCGAAATATAGGTAATGGCTAATGATCACATTTTCCTTTTATTACCAGATGTTAGGGTTCCTGATTGTTTTTTACAGTTGTCTTTTCCTTTTGTTGACTTGATGCATGATCTTTTCAGTAATTTAAAAGATTAATAACAAAAAGTATACTTGAGGTTTGTCCTAATTAGAAAACAACCCCAACTGATTTTCAAACTTACAAAAATTCCACTGAGGGCTAAGATTTTGTTGCCTCACATTTTAGCACTTTGTAGACAAATTACATTTAAAATATTCTCCTTTATATTCATAAAAAATACTATAGCTAACCCATTAGCTTTAACACTGAAACTTCATCTCGCCAAAGCTGTTTTTTCTTTAATTAGGTTAAACCTTAACGGATCTTTTTGAAATCATCCCTAATTTTAACTTTAAGACAGTACTTGTTACATACATTTTCCTATGACAGGTTTTCTTTTGTTTCTCTTGTACTTTTTACGGGTTCATCCAAACCTTCAGATATCAACGAACTACATGGCAAGATGTCAGTGACTGGTGAGAAGTGCTTTTTTGTTCATTTTCTTAGTTTATGAGAATGTTACTATGCTGATGCATTTTATATGATATAAGCATCTTATTACATGATTCGTTATCATTGTTCTTTTTAGAGGACCTCAAAGCCAAACACAAATATGTCACCTTTTCTGTATTTTTATTTGCATGCTACTCAGTTCTGTTCTTTTGCTTTCTTTTCCTTCTTTTATCATGGTTTATTTCGTTTGACTGTGTATGTGTATGTGCATGCATTTGTTTTATTGGGTAGCTTGCCCACATATTATATCATCAACTAATACAAAGCCACTGTCTCGTGATACCCTCTACATCTTGGTTAGCTCCTTTGAAAGTTTTAAAAGTAATTTTGCTTTTCCTGGTTCTGCAGTTTCGTTCCTTGAAAAAAAAAAAAATCTGGGACGTACTGGGTCATTTCTCAATTCTCATGAACAATAGCTCCTTACACACACACACACACACACATACTGTATTATATATATTATATCCCATGGGAAAGTAGATATACATCCCATGGTCATTTGGGGTGCAGGGATGTTGGGAAAGTAGAGATGTGTAGAATGCTCAAATTTGGTTTTTGATCTAGTCGAGATAATCACTGATATATTCAGCATGCAGGTGGTAGTATTACTCAAGCTTGGACATCTAAATGTACACATATGGTTGTGGATGACTTCACTTCTCTGACTGATGAGATAATTGATGCAATAGTTGCTGGCATACCCCTTGTCACATTTAGATGGATAGAGGTATATCTGCAACCATAATCTTCATACATATAATGAAGCCCCGTTCTCATATGCACTCAATCCGCAATGTATATAACACCATATTCACACATCACCTTGTGATGATGTCATATATTGGTGCTTATTGTTCATGAACAAGGCTATAACCTGCATTTTTCTACATAACTATCACAAGGTCCTGAAAAATATTTTAGTAACTTTTTCTTTTTTGTTGCTCATTTGGTTATGGAACTTCTGCTAATCTTTTTGCACGAGGTATCTAAGCCATGGGTGTTTATATATGTTACGAAGGAAAATGTGAAGATTGGCTAGCTAAGATAAATAATTCAAGTCCAGACATTCTTTTTGATGGTTTACCATATGCCTTGCATATGTGTGCTTTCCAAGTCCACAGCTTCAGATCTAAGAAGAGGCTTTAAATGTACTAGATCCAATTGAAAGATAAATTATTGCTTTTATCTGTGATTGTGTATCTGTGTGTGAGTTTGTGCTTCGTTGCTTCTATCTGTATTTATTGTTGGTTTTCTTGCAAGATCTTTTGTATATGCGCAACTCTAGGTCTTATATAGGGAATGTTTTCATTTGGCTTTCACTGTCACATATTTAGTTAATAACTGGTGATCATTATTTAGGTAATAGGAGGAATATCTATATGCACTGAAATACCCAGCTGTGCCCCGTGAGTATTTTCTTCCTTGAGGTCACTAACAAATTGCAATGACACTTTTCTGGAGGTCTGTCTTTTCTGGTTTGGTTTATAGACTATTGCATTTCCATATCAGGCATGCTCCAAGTTTATCACTAGACGGGGTATCTCTTAAAGTTGCGGATCCACAATCTCGAGAACAGTGTCTGAAAGCTTACACTTTTCTATTGGTATCCATACAGAAGGTAAACACTTCAGGACTTTAAAGATTTCTTGAAAACTATTGTCGTTTCTTTGCATTAATTTATATTTGTGTCTACTCACATACACATGTAGTCTTGTACATACGAGCAAACCACATCACACTAGTCCTGATATTTGTATACGCCACAGTTGGCAGTCATAACTGCATGGTATAGCTGCTGGAATAGATGGTTGAAATGGCTCTCTATTTGGGATAGAAATTGTTAAATGTTGACAGTTTGATTGATGTACTAAAAATAAGCATTTACTTGGAGCCTTTTTCTGGAATGTTTCCTTTGAAAAAAAGTGGTCGTCATTAGTTCATTAGTTCATTTTCTTGTTCTCTCTGGAAAATAAGTCCCTTTGCTTGGTTTCATTTCTATTTTCATCCCTCTTTGCCTATTCATTTTCATCATGTACATCCAGCTCATCTTATCATATTGTTCTCCTCCTCATTCAAAGACTTTATTCATATTTCTTTATTTTTTTCATTTCAAGTACATCCCACTCATTGGAACAAGTTTCTATTTCTCATTGAACACACTTTATCCACTTTGCTTTATTTATACTTCTTTTCACTTGGTTTCATTTCCATTTCTATCCCTCTTTTTTTATCCATTTCCATCATGAACATCTGCTTGGTTTGCTCATCTTATCATATAGTTCTCTCCCAATATTTTGAAAAGCCTACATGATCTTCACAGAATATATCCATTTCTTGATTTTCTTTCCAAACCTACACCATCTTTCCAAATGCATCCCACTCCTGGGAACTAGCTTCTATTCATATAGCACTCTTTATTTACATTGACAACTAGTTTGGCAAACACATGTTCTCAAAGTGAACAGTTAATCTGCCACTTACCCAAAATTTTATTAATTAAGATGCACATTCATGTAGTCTTGTTCACACATTCCTTAATGAATATTCTAGAAACTCTTTAGTAAAGTGAAAATGAAATAAGAAAAGCCTTGTATTTTGGTTTCAGTTTCTTTTAATTCGCCTATTTGACAAAATGAACAATTTTATGCATTGACACGCCTACACCCATACGCCTAAGAGCCATGTAATGGCTCTGATAATAAGACTTTAATTATTATAAGCCTATTGCTGTTTTGCATTTATGACATTGCATAAGATCTTCGAGAGTTGTGAAAACATAGGAATCATGCACACTTGTCCCTCACTTCCTTTCCATTTTTTGTTCGTGGCAGTATAAGTTCAAGGAAAAGTTGCAGTTGCTGTTGGAATCGGGAGGTGCAAAAGCTGTTTCTGTTGAAACTCATGATTTGTGTAGCCAAGTATGTCATCTGTATCTTCTTCATTACATTTAAGACTGCCTCAGGCCTATTAAATACATCAACATATAAGGTCTCGAACAATCAGCTACCCGTCTCTTTTACAAAAAAAATAAAATAAAATAAAATAAAACAAAAAATTATTATTCAGTTTTCCCGAAAATGATGAGTACCATGAGAAAATAACTTCAAACTTTTGTCACTTACCGAATAAAGGTGGAAGCTTTCTAAATGAGAGGAAAATCCAATCCCTGAAAGCAAATCGCTTGCTTTGTCATTAACTAACTGGATGTTGTGATTGTTGTCTTTTTAGAATCCAGGAGAAAAATTAGTGCGTGTCATGCCAGCTGGATCAACAGTCAGCACCGGAAGCTTTAAGAAGTACAGTTCTCTGCCTATGGTGAATGAGATGGAACTAATTTCAGCCATCATTTCTGGACACCTGGATCCTTCAGTTTTATCATCAGGACCTGGTAAAATGCTTCGTACCATACCATGGATTTGTTTCCTTAAGTGGAACACAATTATTTACTTATATGATTTTTAAGAAGATTATTTATTTATTTTCGGTTTTTTCTTGGCAGTCCTGGTTACATCATCATGCTCCACGGATGAGACTGACGAGACTGTGGTGGCAGATTCTGACGTTGAAATGGAAACTTCCACATCAGCACGCAAGTCCGTGGTAGTTAATTTAACAGAATCTGCTGAAGACGAGTGCACGAAGAATATAGAAATCCGCAAAATGGAATTTTCCAAAGAAGTTAATTCATCACAAAAAGAAGTTGTTCACATTATAGAATCTTCTGAGCATGACAGTGCAGGGAATACAGCTGCATTCAAAACCACTGAACAAAAGAGCCAAAGATTTCATCCTCTTACTCGAGGTACTCTAAAACCTGATGATAGTCCTCCCCAGACTACTGTCGTCAAATCTGATGGTGAATATATCACATCAAGAAACAGGGATGAAGGTATTGTGGCAAGAAAGGATACATCTGAAAGTGATAATAATATCGATATAATTTACAGCCAAGATCTAATTGTTCGACGCACTACTAAAACACAACCTGAACATTCGTCGAGTAAAGGTGCAGCCGTAAACTTCAAACGCTTCAGGAAGGTAATGAATAATGATGACTTAAATGGGGAATTCTTTTTTAGTTATGTAGTCAATACTACACAATTGCTTTCTAAGTTTAACCACATTAACATAAAATAATTATAAAGTGATTTGGATGTTTTACTAGATGGATGTTCCATCCGGGAACAGCTTCTACAGTTTTATTCCTTTTGCGAAGAACCCGTATGAGTAAGATTCATTTCTCTTCTCTCCTCTTTCGTCTCTGTTATATTCCTCAAAGTTAAAAAATATGCATCTTTCTTAGAGAGTCCGACTATGGGAATGAAGATGTGGCTGAATCTATTAAAGAGGAGAAAAAGCGTAAACGGATGGAAGCCATTGCAGACGACTTGTTTAACAATGAGAAGGTCCGTATACAGCATTATATAGCATGTTTTCTATAACTTCATAATAATACCTAAATAAGCCCAAATTAATATTTACCTTATGTGATCCAGGGGAGAAGGCGTGCTGCATCTGGTTCTCTTCACGGGCTTTTTGCTCGTGGTTTGTGAAGAGGTAATCTGATGTTAAGAACCCTAAAAGTGTAAGTATGGATGACTTTAGGAAGCTTGGAAATGCATTTGCCAGTGCCCTTTTTCTACTTTATCGCAAAATGAGTTTTGATTAGGCAAGATACAGAAAAAAGGCCGGCCATCTTCTCCTAAGTGGACATGTAACAGTATTTCCCTCCAAAAAGTACTAGTGGTTAGGCACTATGCAATTAAGCTAGTGTTAGTTTTATAAAATGTCACATGTTGATGCATATTTTGGGTTAAGTATGTGTCAATATCATTCTAAGAAATAATATATACAATGCTGCTGCTTGACACTCAATAATCAATATTTTATTTTAACATATAATATATGTGAACCTAATATTGTCTTAAGATACTCGTACAAAAGGCCGATGGAGACTTATCAAGTTATCATGGGGTAATTACGGAAATATATAACTTGAAGTGCATCTTTTTCTATGGATGCCATTGGAAACATTTTTGCATTGACAGTCAGAAAATTATTGCAGCAAATTAGGTTAATTTTCAATTGAATTCTCTTAGTTGTTGGGGTTACGTTTAATTTTAAACAGTTTTGTTCCAATTGGGTAGGGAATTACCAAAGGATATGATGATCTATGTTGGAGATAGTAATTGGCTCATTTACATCCATACCGTACTGATTCATAAAATATTGCAAATATACGCCATGGGAAATTTATTTGCACATCCACATTACTCAACATATATATTTACAGAAATACCATTAAATAAAAATAGGGCATTCAATTGAATATCTTCTCAAAACCTGCCCACCATCCTCCCCACACCAACCACTCGCGTCCATAGCAATCTGCAGACCAACTCTCCGCACACCAACCACTCGCGCATCCATGGCGATTTACTGCAGATCGAGGGCCTGAGGAGGGCGACGGCGTTGCCAATCTACTGCAGATCTGCTGCAGGCTCGGCTTCGGGGAGGACGACGGCGTTGAAGGTGTTGAACATCTTCTTAAACCCTCCCCACACCAACCACCACCCGCGACGGCGTCGAATGAGTTTCTCTGTCTAACCGTCCTCGCAACCCCTCTTTCATTATTCCGACGTCCTCGCAAACTCCAAGCAAAATCATATCCCTCTCATTCGATACCTGAGGGGAAGAGAAAAATTCAAGCGAAAAGAGCACAACGCATTCATACCCAATTACCTTGAAGACATTCGCGAAATCGATTTCCCATTTTAGGTCTAAATGCTACAAACAATCAGATCTGAGATGTCATAGATCGGCCGCCGTCCTGATGTTTATTTTAAGTTTATTATTCGTTTATGTTTGGTATATGAACCGAATATTCGTTCCTGATTTTGTCCCAGATCGATCACAGATTCTTTCGATGTTTTTTTTCCGTTTGATATGAACTGAATAAATAATAGTTAATAAATTAGTCTGAAAAATCAGTAATTATCCCCATATTCCCATGTAACAGTTACACGAATAACTCTTAGGTATAATTGCAATAATTTTGGTTTGGTTTAGTAATATTATAAATAAGAATATAAAGGGTTTAAAATTGTAATATAAATCATATCTTGTAGTAAGGAGTGTAATTTTCTCATAGTAATTTCTGCACCTTTGCTTTAGAAAGCAAGGGTGTAAATGAATCGAGTTGAGCCAAACATAAGTAAAGGTGTAAACGAGTCGAGTTGGGCTGAACATAATGATATTCGAACTTTTTTCAAATAATATATTCACTTATTTTGATTCAAAATTTTTAAGTAATATAATGATATTCAAACTTATTTTGATAGTACTTTCTTGACTAAAAGGATAATGATAATTAGGTGAAATAACATTTGGATAATTTGATATCTTTACACATTCTATATTTACTAAACAGTTCAATCTTAAATAGGAATTTACATTATTATAATTTTGGACTACTCGTAACAACTTTATATGAATGTCAATAGAAATTAGAAATAATGGCACTATTACCAAACGCAATCGTTAACGGATGAGTTAAGGCTTCACTTTCAACCCTAAATTAAGATATGGTGGGAGTAAGGAGTAGTACAATTCATCAAAACCATAATGGTGCGATTGGCTATAAAATATAATCGGTTTAGATTGATCAAAAACTTGTTTACACTCTTCAATCTAAAATCAAACTCAAATTTAGTCAAATTCAACTCTTCTCAATATTATCAATATAAATGGGTAATATCAATCAATCCTAATCACATATCAAATTAACTTTAATTCACTATTCATCTACTCTCATAATTTTAATTACCCACCAATTCTTCTTTATTTTTACATTACATCAACTTTAATAATTATATTTTAAATACAAACTTAAAATTTCAGTCAATCAACTTTTTTCAAAATTAATTACTTTATCCAATAAATTTAATTAAATTAAATTAATTTATATTCAATCAGTCCTTAGAATATGGGGTTCCCGGTATATCCCTTCAAAGATCAATCACATATTAGTGAAGCCTAAAAATGCCCACAAAAGTATCTCAACTTTCAATTTGTTGCCATTCTCTCCATTGGCTTGTGCATAGGAATAATTGTTCAAATAATGTCCACAAACCGAACTTGGTAAGAAATTAGAATAAAAGGACACGCTAAGTGTAGACACGCTTTATTAGCGTCAATAGCGTGCCTCAAAAGTCGTACAAGTTTTCGGCAATATCAACGTCAAAAGGCTCCAATTTTCAAATTATTAAAAACTGTTTTACCGAGTCCGAGTTAAATGACGCGGCATAGCACGACTTTGTAGTTAAACTGCCATTGTTTAATTTCGGATTTCGGAATAAGGGTCCGATTTGTATATATAAGATTNAAAAAAAAAAATCTCTCTCGAAAAAGTGAGAACGATCGATATATAATAACCAGTTTTCATGTTTCGTATTGTATTTGATATTTATAGAGAAAAAGTAAGATGAAATGAATAGTATTTGAAATGTAAAAATTTTATTGTTTTATTTTCAATTTCAACAAGTTAAATATTGATTCAACAACATAACTAAAGGTTTATGTAAAACGGAAAAGAAAATCCAACAATTTCCTCAGCAAATTTGGACAAGTAACTTACTTTTACTCGATGTAAAAAAATAAAATACAATCCTTAATTCAAATCAATTGACATGTCAAAATAAATGACTAATCGGTAAAACTAGTAAATGGAAAAGGCTAAGTAGATCATCCAAGTCTTACAATAATATCCGCAACCGCAGCAGATATTTATTTTTATCTAAATTATGCCTCGACGCATCTATAATTCACCCGAAAGATATTGTTTGATTGGACCTTCCTTAACCGTTACATTTATTTAAAATAATCCTAATTTTAGCACACTTAATAATATTCAATATGTTAAATAAATATATAAGAACTCCCCAGACGGTGACCCATCACCCTCTTCCACTTTAGGAAAATAAAAAATAAAAAATACGAAACTTCATCAGCAGCAAGCAACTAAAACAAAAACCATTACAGAAGAGACTTTTCATACGCATGCACACTTTAAGACCTTTCTTTATATAAACCTAACACCATCAACTAATCACTTCACCAAAACACCATTTACAAATTCCAGTTATAAAAAATAAAATAAAAAAATGGCAGATGTCCAAAAAGTTCACCCGGTGGCCCACGACCCAGAAACCCCTCCTCCCCCCGAGCCCAACTCCAAGCCCACTGCCCCACTCGTCCCCCGCGGCTCTTCCCGGTCGGAATCCGGCGACCCGGCCCGAACCCGGTCTCCCCCGCACGGCCCGGTCCACCGCACCATCCCTTACGCCCCCATGAAACCCCCCAAAAATCGAGGCCGCTCCTGCTGCAAGAGGTGCCTCTGCTGGTCCACGTGTCTCCTCCTCCTCCTCGTCATCCTCGCCGGAGCCTCCGCCGGCGTCCTCTACCTCGTTTTCCGGCCACGCCTCCCGAGCTACTCCGTTGACTCGATGCGGATCTCCCGATTCGACCTCGGGCCCGACAATACCCTCTCGGCGGGCTTCGACGTCAACATCACGGCCCAAAACCCGAACCGGAGGATCGGAATCCACTATGAAGGCGGGAGCCGGCTTAGCGTGTTGTACCGTGAGACGAGCCTTTGCGAGGGCTCGCTGCCTCGTTTTTACCAGGGTCACCGGAACACGACCCGGCTCGGGATCCGGATGGCCGGCCGGACGGCGGATGCATCCGGGCTGCTGGGGTCGATTCAGGCGGAGACGGGTGGAGTGCCGCTAGTCCTCCGTGGGCGAGTCCCGGTGAGAATCGAGATCGGGAGTTTGAGGCTGTGGGAGTGGAAGTTTAGGGTGAGGTGCAGGCTCACGGTAGATAGGGTGGAGGCGAATAATGATGTGAGGATTAGGGACAGTAGGTGTAGGTTTAGGTTCAGGTTTTG